CCCCAAAACCCCAAAACCCCAAAACCCCTATAAATTATTACTAAATAGAACAAAACAGGCATTGAAGATGGAGAAGCTAAAGTTCAACTTTACAGATCCCCAGAATGATTGTGGTCAGGCAGCCATTAAACTATGTGCGGAAGGAAGTGCAATTATTGCTGAAATCCAGAGATTATCAAGATTTATTCCTCTTGTATTCAAAGATGAAGAATCCTAAGAAAGAAGAGTTTAATCCAAGGTAATCTTCGACTGTAGCTGCATTGATAAAGCAGAAGATTATGAAGACGAGATCCAGAACACCGTTGAATTGATCGAACTAGATGAAAACTTCAGAGAATCTTATATAGACATCATCGAGAGATTCTATCAGCTATATACAAGTATTTATCTTTACTATCAGGATTTTGTCAAGTATCTCGACAATTCAGGGACGGTTTCTTCCTTGAGTATACTTTTGAAGGTATTTTGCTATTGAGAGACGGCAGACAACTAATGGCTGAGCTTCTCTATAACTATGGAGTCATGTTGATACTTTTGGATAGGCTTATCCCATCATACTCGAGAGAGAGGATCCTAGTCAGCTATTATAGATACAAAGGACAATCATCCATAGAAAACATTAAAGAAATTTTTAAACTCTGTGGAGGTACAGGATACTCCCCTGGTTCTTCATTTCCTAAAGGGTATCCCATCAAGTATTTTGATAGGTTCTGCTTTGACAAGTCTCCTTATAAAGAATGTGTAGAAAACATTGTCGAGCAAATAAAAAGTGATGATATTTACCAAATGCTGAACTCATATTCTTCAGTACATCACAAATCTACAGCTTTAGCTCAACAAGGAGCCATGATTTTTGTCTGCTCATTCTTCCTGCCCAAATTTTTAGAGGATGAAGAGACAAAGATGAGAGAAATAGTTGATAAACACTTCTATGATAACTGGGTCATCCCTGTATATCAAGGATATCTAGCGGACATTACTCAGTACTGGGGTCAGTTTGAAGCTTCCAGAAAAGCCATTAAGAATAACGTAACGAGAAGAAGGTTACACAAATAGCACTTTACCATCAAGATAAAGTCAAAACTCTTCGGAAAGACCTCAGACTTTACCTAAAGCAAGGCAAATTATTAGATGAGTACGTTCTTGACAATGTTCAGCCCCTCTTGCAATGCCTAAGAGAGTGCAACATCACTATTAGATGGCTTTTATTACACAGGAATTGAAGGAGTAAATCTCTCAGAGATATCATATTACCCAATCACGAGACTGACGATATTATTGAGCTCCTTCTAGCTACTTCAAAGTTTGAAAAAGAGCTGAAAGATCTATTTGAGAATTTGGTCAAAACAAAAAGTGAGGTATGGGACAAAGATAAAGGAGAGTGCGTGTTTTACATGCATGAAATTGCCGAATACTTTCTGGGAAACAGACATATGGGTAAACAATATGTTGATGAAAACTACTCCAACTGGTTCAAACATATTGGGGAGAGAATAGAAAATCTCTCTTATAAACATTCGACTGTTGCAGGAAGAACTATCAAATCTATCGTTCAGGTCCTAGATGATATTGAGATTTATGAGCCTATTGAAACTAACGTTCAGATTAAGCACTTTATACAAGAGACTAAGAAAGGCCTACTCCACATGGTTCGTAGCGTGAATGTGAAAAGATCGTATCTAGTAAATATTTCCCATATAAGTGATTTCTCATATGCATGGAACGTAATTGATGATTATATGCCGCAAATCCAAGAGAGAATCAAAGAAAAGCCTCGTACTGTTCTTCTCATTAGAAATTTATTCAAGAAACTTTGCATCTATTATGAATCTCCCTCTTGGAAAAATGATGGAGGCTAACAGTGATGATATCGAAAACATTGCTATGTACTACTCCTCAGAGCTAGTGAAGTATGTCAAAAGAGTACTTCAAGTAATCCCAACTTCAATATTCGAAAACCTTGAAGAGATCTCTAACTTACTAATTTCGAAGATACCAGAGCTCCCTGTAAAAATGTCAAAGGATGAACTGAAGAATTACACTGCATTTGAAGACAGATACCAACTAGCGAAGTTAACACACAAAATTTCTGTATAAACTGAAGGTATTCTTTGCCTTGACAAAGCCCTCATGGGAGTGATCCAAGTAGATCCGAAGGAGATGCTAGTTGAAGGAATTAGGAAAGAACTAGTCAACAATGTTTCAAGGTTCCTTCACTCTGTCTTTATCTTCAGCACCAAAGGTGATAATAATGAACTTCAGAATAAGCTAAGCAAACTTACTGCAAAATTTAAAGATCTCAAGAAATCATTCGAATATATCCAAGATTTTCTCAACATCCATGCTGAGCAAATTTGGAGAGAAGAAGTCTCTAGAATTTTCAGATATAGTCTTGACAAAGAAGGAATGAATGTAATCACCAAGAAGATGGAAGTGAACAGCCTTGATATGGGTATTCTAATCCCTCGATATCCAACTCCAGAGAATGATAAAAGCCCTAGTTTCCTTGGAAGAATGATGAACCAGCTTGCTAGTATCTTATCACCAGATAAGGTGCTCTATCTTGACCAAGTCAGTAACTTCTACTCAACAGAGACTGGCAGACAAGTGTTTGGGCTCAGAAATGTAGTAGCATTAGAAAAAGATCTAGGAATAATCTATATTCAGAGCCTTGATCAAATGCTCAGCTACAGAATAGTCAATGATGTCAAAGTATTCATCAGAGAGTACGGCCGAATGATCGGTGGAGGAAGAATCAAGAAACAGGATAGTGTAAAATCTGGAACTAGAGTTGAAAATCTTAAGCATACTTTAAAGACATTTGAAAGAGGAATTCCTGACTTCTAACTGCTACAGAAGCCCAATATAAAGAATATTCCCTTCTCATGGACTCTTTCAAACCAGTGTATTCTAAACTTATAAATATAAAGCTGATGAAAGAATGCAATAAAGATAGATTTTACTTCCATCTGATTTTTATGATTCAATCTCACTGATCCAAAATTTGCTCACAAGGCCAGCTACAACTAGTCCGCCGCATAGTGCTCAGTTATCTGAACTTTGTTGCAAAAATGGAGACTCCATTCTTCTATTCCTGTCTTTCGAATCTAAATACCTCTACTTTCAATTCAATGGAAGTCCTTAAAACTCGTGCTCAAGAGATAAAAGAAGAAATTATAGAAGAAGTAGATGAAGAATATGACTCAGATGACTCCCAATACGAAGAGAAAAAGAGAAAAAGAGAAAAAGAGAAAAAGAGAAAAAGAGAAAAAGAGAAAAAGAGAAAAAGAGAAAAAGAGAAAAAGAGAAAAAGAGAAAAAGAGAAAAAGAGAAAAAGAGAAAAAGAGAAAATAACGAAGAGCGTAAAAATGGAGGCCACAACTACCTTGTAGACCACAGAGATGAGACCAAGGGTGAAAAGATCCTCAGAGACCTCCTGAAAAATCTAGGGGGCATCCCTGAGAGCTCTGGCTTTTTAGAACCCATTCATAAGGTCTATGTTCTGACTAAAGATCTTGACTATATGTCACTTAATATGCTTTTGATGACTTTGATAGCTTCTAATAATCTACAATATGATTTGAATGTCAATTCACTTGTGAGAAAGAACAAGAACTCAAATATAGACGGACCTTGTTTCGTTATGGGGTTGATCACGATCTTCAAGCAGTTCCATAACTCACATTTTAAGAAATACCTAGTGTATATGTCACACTACATAAAGTCTTCAATCGAAGTCTCCAAAGACAAAGGATCTCTCCAAAAGCAAGGGTGCTACCCTGAAGATGTTACTACTCTGTTTGGCATCCTTGAAGAAATTCTCAGATTTGGTAAATATGACAGAGAAGTTATTAAGCAAGTTATGGAAGTCAACTTCCTTTTCGATAATTTCAAGAGCATTCCAGGAAGGTCTCATAAAAAGTAGATCATTCAATATAGAAACGGACATAAGGGGTTTTGGGGTTTTGGGGTTTTGGGGTTTTGGGG